CAGTAGTTTTTATCAGGCTCACAATGATATGATATGAAGGATCAAAAAATAAATAACTAAATAAAAAAGACCGGCTTCAACCAAAAGCCTCCGCTGGAAGAATTCTCATTTCAGTACATGTCAGAGAATATATTATAAATACTCAAAAATCAAAATACTGTATAAGCACTAAAACTTACTAGCCTATTTGACATTTAAGGGAAAAAAGGTTTATGTGCATAACTACAGCAAAAAGTTCTTGCATCCTGTCAAGCTATCTAAACCTACATATGTCTGAACGACATTGGAGGACAGTACTTTATATAAGTCACTTAATTGAAGGAAAAAATACTATGCAAACAATAAGCTGTTTTCTATAGCATATATGCAGTTCTGTACTGCCTAACAGCACCACAACATCCATTATAGTCTAACTACGTACTGGTAGTGTGTCAGAGGACATGCCAAGGAGGATCAGCAAGCCGTCGAGGACTGAGTTGTTTCACCAAGTCGTAAATAATTAAACACAACCGAGTGTCACATCCCCTGTTAAAGTTTAAACATCTCTGAGGTTTAAACGAGGTCGGGGACGGAGAGAGAGGTCCCAAAAATCAAAGCAGGCAAATACTTTTACAGTTTAATGAAGAGTTACCGGGCGGTTCGCTAAATGACGTTATGGAGCAGGAGCACGCCTCAAACTAACCTTCAATCAGCTGGCAGATTTTCTCATAGCTGCACAATTTCATCCTACTCATCATTCCAATCTCTTCTCATACTTCTTCCTTCTCATAATCTTTCCTTAGTTCTATTTTTCTTAACCCCCATTCTCATAATTTCTCATCTACCCCCTTTAATGTCCCGCTCATCCTAATAGTTTCTTATTTTTCTTATCACAATTTCTGATTTCTCATCTAATCCCTTTAAAATCATACTTGTCCTTCTCACCCCTTAAACATATTTTGTTACATTCCACTTCCTCATTTCCCGTCTACTTTAACATCACAGGCACCCCATCTCATCTTATCATTTTCTCATCCTACATCTTCATTTCTCATAATCTTCACCTTTGAAGGAATTCCTTTCTCTGTTTTCTCATTTACATCCTCATTTCTCATCTTTTCTTTTTAACATCCCACTTAACCCATTGCTTATTTGTCATTGTTAACTTCAAAGGCATCCCTTCTCATCTCGCCATTTTTTTCCATTTCACATCATTTACAAACTCTCATCTTTAACTTTACAGGCATATTTTTTCTTTCATCTTTTTTCCCTTCTCATATTTTCTTTTCAACATCCTACTTGTCCTATCAAGCTTCTATCATCCTATCACTGCTTTTTCTCACTGCGTTCCTTCTCATCCCATTTCTCATTTCACTCATCTTTATGCCTGACTTTTCTTATACCTCCTTACCCCACTCATTTATCATCTTTTCAGTATCTCATGCCAGTCACCCTACACTATTTTTATCCCTTTTCTCATCTTACTTATTATCCCAGTACTTTTACCTTATCCCACTAATTTTTGATCATGTTGCTTTCTCATCACTTATTCTCCTCACCACCTATTTGTACTTTTCTCAGCTTTCTCATACCACTAATTTACTTTATCTCTTGCCTTTCTCATACCTCATCCTGATTCTTCATTCTGCCTCCTTGTGCCACTCATTTTTCATCTTTTTGTTTTCTCATTCCACTTATCTTTTCAAATCTTTCCCCCATTCATTGTCTTTTTCTCTTCGTCTTTTTGTGCCTCCTCCTCCTCCACATATTTCCACCCCTTCTTTTAATCATCTTACTCATCTTCATTTCTTATTTGTACATTTTCTCATCCCACCTCCTCCTCATTTTTCATCTATACTATTCAACATCAAGCTTATTGTTTTCAGTTCTCACCTTAAATGTAACGTTGTCATCCCTCTTTCTCATAAAAATGATTCTTCTCATGCAAGCCATCCTCATCTATCTCTACTCATCCTACTAATTCTTCTTTCTCATGCCTCCAGTTTCTTATTTAACAAGCCCATCTCATCTGATTCTCTTTCTCATCCCACTTATTGTCCTCATCCTCTTCAGTTCTACCTCTTCCTGCATCTCTTCATTTCCCATTTTTTTTTCCTCATCCCTCGCCTTTAAACCTTTTTTCATCTTCTATACGCCTGACTTTTTCTGTTCAGAGTAATTTTAAACATGTCAATTTACATCTGTAATCTCAGATTACAGGACAGATCTAATGCAAACTCATTCCTGTTCTGTTCAGATCAATCTAAATAATCTGAAAACAGTGTAATTTGATTTTAAGGCAGTAGATTATCTGTTATTCTTTCATTCCACGTGTCATTCTCTGTTTGTGCATTGTTTTATCATGGGATCCTAAGTAGGCCAAGTCTTTGGACCCATTTGAAGTCATTTCCCAAACCAAGCAGGAGACTGAACCTTCATTCATGTCTTCATCCTGAAGCGGTGAACTCCTGTGGTTCTTGTGTCCACACAGGTAACAGGTAAGTCACGTGTGCCTGTGGTTATGACGTGAACTCTGCTCAGTTTGCTGCATTATTTCTACTCTTTCTAAGTTAATCTAGGCTTACAAGCAGCGGAGATGAAAGTGGAGGGTAGGGTGGGGGGATCTTTGTGCCTTATTGCTTTTCCACTTTATTCCATTGTTCCCTGAAGTTTCTCTGAGTTAACAGTCAAGAGGAACCGCCTCGTGCGGCGCTTGTTTGTCCTCCGTTGCAACATCCCCGTTGTCCACGCCGCTCCGGCACGAGGGCTTCTCTTCGCGCCTCACCGGCCGCACAATGACGCACGGCCTCGCGGGCTCTCCGCCGCCGCCGCCGCTCGCCCGGGCGGCGCGCGCGGGGCTGCGACTGTCGCGCTCGTATTCCTCCTGCGCGCGCCGGATCTTCCTGTTCCGGAGCTTCCTCTTGTGGAAGTGGAACGTCGCCAGGGAGACGAGGACGATCCCCGCGAGCACGGCCACCAGCACGAGGAGCGCGAGCGTGGAGGAGAACGGCGGCAGGAGGCCGAGCTGCTCCGCGCAGGTGCCGTTGCCGGCCTCGAACCCCGCGCGGCAGCGGTGCAGCGGCACCGACAGCCCCGGGGCCTCGGCGGGTCTGGCCGTCATCCGGTCCGCCCGGTCTCGCGTCTCTCTCTGACCCCTGTACCCTTCGTGTTCCTCGGGGCTCAGCGCGGTGACGCCGGCCCGCGCATGTGGTTACCTGTACCGGGAAGAAGACACAGGTGTGACCCGCTCATCTCCTCATTATAGCCAGGACACATTAATTAGACCTAATTAATTAGTTAATTAATGAAGAAGCGGAAAGCCCAAATGATAGAACAGCAGCAAAAACAGACGTTTCCTTTAATGTGGAACTGTCAGAACAATACATCATCTGTTGTAATGACAGGCCTGCGAGATTAAGCATCGGTCTCTGCACCCATCTCCGGACCAGAAAGTCAGCTTTACGCAAAGGATAATTAATGTTTTTATTAGTTTAATCTCACATGATTTCACCCTCTCAACATAAAATTAAAAATACACAAAAATGTTGAAATCTTACCTGATGAAATAATCAGAATCAGTCCGTGAGCAGAGAGCTGAAATGTGTGAACCGGTTCGCGGTGACGCATTTCGCACAATGAGATGCTGCTGCTGCTGCTGCTGCTGCTGCTGAGCTCCGATCGTTCAGGATGCCTTTGGACTGCAGCAGTCCGGCTCAGTCCGCATGCAGGGCGGCACTCTCCCCACTTCAACACCACAGGTAGCGGGAGAACCCCTCGGTTGGTAAAAAATAAATCAAAATGTGCTCAGAACAGAGCTGTACGGTCTTCCCCTCCTCCGGTTGTCTCCACTCAGCCTCTGAATGAAGAGCTGCAGCTGCATTAAAGGTCCACCAGTCAGCTGGCAGGGGTGGGCTTTTCCTTTTTCCCTGCTCCCATGGTGAAACAAACACTTTGCACATTAGGTCATACCTAAATCTCACAATGACACTATAATATAATGATAATGATGATAATATAATATAATATAATATAATATAATATAAAGGAATGCATGTCGCCCACTCTGAAAATAATTTATAATAACATTTTATTGTTATTTAAGCTCACTGTTCTTACATTTTGCAATTTTTTTTACTTAATGTTAAATTTAAATGTGAAACATCAGGTCTACATTAAATTTTAAATGTAATATAAAAGTTATATGTAAACGTGTACGTAAATACAGTGTTGTATAAAGTACCTCAAAGTGATACTTGAGTAAAAGTACAAGTATCTTATCATAAAAATACTTTGGTAAAAGTTAAAGTCTTCTTAAGATATTACTTGAGTAAAAGTCTTAAAGTATCTGAGATTTTTTGTACTTAAGTATCAAAAGTAAATTTCTGACACAAAATCTACTTAAGTATTAAAAGTAAAAGTACTGAGTAAAAGTGAGCAGTTAGATTTTACAAAATGACATTTATTGGGAGGTGACTTCTCCAAAAACTATATTTTCTAACAGCGTGCAGCTGTGATGGGTTGTGTACAAGCTAATAGTGTGTCAGAATGGTATATATTTATACTTCTCATCCAAACACAATTAAATTCACTCTATCAGGAGACACAGTTTATCACAATAGTTTTTTAAGTAATAAAAACTCAGAATAAAATAGGAATAATGACTTTCTACTTCTTACTTTTTTTAAAAATGTAGTGAGTAGAAAGTACAGATAATTGTGTAAAAATGTAATGAGTAAAAGTAAAACGTATACATTGAAAAATAATTACTTAAGTGAAGTACAGATAACCAAAATGTCTACTTAAGTACAGTAACAAAGTATCTGTACTTAGTTACTTTACAACTCTGTGCAAGTATATTAAAAAATAGACAATTTTATGCTGTGTGAAGTTTGAAGCAGAAACAGGTATGTGATTATTTCCTAAAAAATTCAATAACAGTTACCTAATGGTTCAAATTTTGCTAACACACAAGATAAAGTTGACTCTAACTGAGATGATTTAAAGATCCAAGCCTTGTTTTGAGAGATGGAAACACACATGTGTGCTGTGAATCATCAATCAAAGTTGAAAAGCTGATGGACCATACTTTATGATCAGTGTAACAAGCGTTATGGAATAAATGCTGCAAACATCAGTGTTAGTTTCTGAGATTTACTGCTCAGTATTGACTGGACATTGAATGGAATTTGCCCCATCATAACTGTCAGTCTGTTCACTGTACAATCAATATTTATTCCAATATAAAAATTAATGTCAGACCACAGCAGACAATCCAAATGGGGGATTCATAGCATGTGAGGAGGGTGTTTTATAATAGACCAATGATTCCCAACCTGGGCTTCGTGAGCATATGACAGCATAATATTACTGCCTAAAGTCCTGAAACATTCCAGCACTTTCAGGACCTTGGACAGTTCCTTCAATCCTTCACACKGTCTAAAGTCCTGAAACATTCCAGCACTTTCAGGACTTTGGACAGTTCCTTCAGCCCTTGACACTGCCAGTCCTGGTCCTCAAGTACCCATATCCAGCATGTTTTACTTGTTTCCCTACTATCCAGCAGGTCTTCAGAAGATTGTTAATCACTCGTTCATTCAAACCAGGTGTATCAAATCAGGGAAACATCTAAAAATCACTGCTTTAAATGTTGACCAACACCTCAAGAGCTTCTCTGAGCTTGATGAGACATTTTCAAAATATAATATTGACTCAGTTTTATGTGTTTTAGTACTGCCTCTGGAAGCCATTGATTCTTTGCCATTTATTAGTAAATAATAAATCAGATAACATTTATGAAAGCAATGATTCTCAACCCTGGTCCTCAAGGTCCCCTTTCCTGCATGTTTAGATGTTTCCCTGATTTGACACACCTGGTTTGAATGAATGAGTGATTAACAATCTTCTGAAGACCTGCTGAAGAGCAGGGAAACAAGTAAAACATGCTGGATAGGGATACTTGAGGACCAGGATTGGGAACCACTGGTACGCCCAACCAGGGGTATGTGTACCCATTGGGGTTCGCAAGCATGTTACAGGGGGGTATGTGGAAAATCTTCCCAGGTGTGTAAAAAAGTAAATAAAAATAGGACTGAGATATGTAGGGCCGTATGATTTCCACAATGCAGAAATTGCAGTCAGAATCATGGAATTAACACAAAATGGAATCCAGTATAAAATGTGGAATCTCACTGATTTTACTAATTTGGGTGAGTTTCTGCTGTACTTTGGACAATACAATGCATTTTGGATGCTGCTGTTTTCTGCACCTGCCATTACCTGGTTTATTTACTTAATTACTTATGCACTTTAAAGGCAACGTTTTTATCTTTATGTTTAATTTGAGTTGAAACAATAAAATGCCTGAGAATTAAATGTTCTAGGGGTTAAATAAATTTTTTTTATTTAATAATCAGTTGTAGTACATTAAAGTTTAGGAGAATCATCATTATATTTGACTGAAGGGTTAGTGGTATGACAAAATGGTTCAGGGGTACACAAGTCTAAAAAGGTTGGGAACTACTGGAATAGAAGATAGTGTGCAGTGGTGGGTATGGTTCCACGAGTCAGTATTTTTCAGTATTTTTTCATTTGTTTGAAAGAGACATTTGGAAGGGGAGCCAAGCATTTTTCATGACTTTCATTATTGACCCTGGGAGAACAGTGGTACCAGGGAACATGGGTGTTGGGATTCATAAGTACCAGGAAATATTTGTACAGGGGAACATGGACACTGGGGAAGATGGGCACTAGGAAACATGTGTGCTGTGGGTATCAGGAACATTGGCTCCAGGGAACTTGGGTACCGGTAAACATAGGCACTGGGAAAAAACAGGTAGAGGATAATATGGGTCTTGAGAAACAAGTTCAGTCCAGGGCAGTGATTTTGTATTTTCAGTCATCTCTTCTCTTCTGTTTCTCTTCTCGAAAATCTCCGTCACAGTATGGGATTTAGATGATCTTGTTCCTGTCTTGGTTCTTTTTGATCCTGCTGGTAGCATCACGTCACCAACAGAATGATCAGCCCTGTCACCAAAGAAGAAGCTCAAAGTTCAGCCAACTGTGGCAGTCATCTTTAATTCTTACTCTAAGTAGACCCAAAGGTTGTTCTATTTTTCTCAAAATGTGTCCAGTGGTTCACAGGATATTTTGCTAATGCTAGGCACACAAACACACATGTGCAAAAACCTTATAAACCTTATAACCTTATTCTCCTTCAGCTGCACCTGATAACAAAACTAATTTAATCTGAGTCAAGTCTGGCATTTCAAAGAATCGAATAAATTCACTTCAGACTGTCATTTTAAGAGCTTGCAATCAGTAAAACAAGGTCAGCGTTACTGGAAGGTGACTTATAATAACAGATAAAAGCCTCAAATTAGCTGAAAGTCTTTTTAGCATTCGGACCGCGGAGTGTCTGAGAATCTCTCAGTAATTTCCTGGTCCTACTTGTGGACATTCTCCATCACCAGCGGGGCTCCATGAAAAATGGATGGTTGCAGAGGGAGTGAGGGTCCCTGGATGATGAACTCGCAGTAGATGAGTGCACACTGAAAGATTTATGCAACCGTTCATGCACAGTTTAAAGAGCTGCTTGTGTTTGAAGACTCCTAAAGGAGACTGATTATAGCGCTTATTCTAATATTCACAGTCGTCTGTCACGTCAGCTGGACACAAACTAACGTAAGGAATGCATGTCACCCACCACTTCTCAAGCCAGAGCTTTATATGATCATATTATGTTGAGTAATGTTTCTGAAAGCTTCATTAAAATTCAACCAGTGGCGATTAAATTCACATTGGCGATGATGAAAAACTATGGGGTGCCGTTTGTAAAGTTACACAGTTAAAAATTACCACCAATATTTTTGTTTTATTTAGCCTTTTATAAGAAAAAAAGAACAGATGTATTTTTCAACATCAGTTTTTCACCATATGATTCATACATTTATAAATGTCATAGTTTATAAACTAAATATTTAACTTACAAATTAAATATTTAGTTAACAAGCTAAATATTTAACTTGTGACTTAAATATTTAGCTAGCTACCTAAATATTTAAGTTGTAACTTAAATATTTAGCTAGGTACCTAAATATTTAAGTTGCAACTTAAATATTTAGCTAGGTACCTAAATATTTAAGTTGCAACCTAAATATTTAGCTAGGTACCTAAATATTTAAGTTGCAACCTAAATATT